GTTGCTCATCATTTCCCAAGCACTCCACAGATGGTGGAAGCTGTGTCCTTCCTGCTGAGGGACACTGTAACTTCTGACACCATGTTTCCAGGAGTCTGGGTGTCTACCTGACTATCTTTTATCTGAATACATTACAAAATGTCAGATATAGCCGGGTGGTGGTGGCGCACGCCTTTAATCCCAGCACTCGGGAAGAAGAGGCAGGAGGATCTCTGTGAGCTTGAGGCCAGCCTGGTCTACAAGAGCTAGTTCCAGGACAGGATCCAACGGCTCCAAATAATTTTTAAAAGAAGTCATATCATATCACTATTATAAATTTTAAAAGATAATAAAATGAATAAAACTAATGTATTCACTATTTTAGGATACATTGAAATAACTACTTAGCTGGATACACACAGTCTGTCTGTTCATCTGGGCACCCCCTAAACCCACCCCAAATATCAGTGAAGGCAGGTACTCCATTACTTCACTTCATCATCATAGGACCCCCAGTGTCCAGCCCAGAGTAGAGCCCCATCATTGTTCTCTGGTGGACAAGACGGGAAATGAAATGAGGAGCTCAGAGGGGGTGAGGGAGCTGTCGAGTTCACACAGCAAAGCCATGGTCTCCTCCAGGGTGGCAGCTTCTGAGACCTCTTGGCATCACAGAACCAAGAAGAAAGTCTCTAGGCTAGAAGGGGAGATGCAACATCTGGCTACTGTCAGACTGTTTAAGCCCTGGGCTGGCAGCCAGTTGTGGCCATAGACTGCAACATGGAAGCTATCAGAGGCCCAGTGGCGTTCCAGGAGGGGTGGATGTGGCCAGCCGGAGGAAACGCCCAGCAACACGGAAGACCTGGGTCTAAGGAAGAGCGGAAGTCACCAGATTTCATTTCTCCAGGACCAACAAGCCACCAGGGAGGCTCCAACAAAGCCTTCTGGGCCACAGGCATTCTGACATCTACCAGAAACACCCTCACTCTGCTGAGGATACCAAAGGAGAGTGGTACCCAGTGAAGTAAGGGTCCCCCTAGAGAACACAGACAGGAAGTACAGGGTGTCCCCTGGTGACCTAACAAGGGGTTCTGCAGCTGTGTTGACTGTGGAGGACCCAGTTGAAGCCCAGTCAGCAGACAGGAGCCACATGGGATCCTCGGAAAATGATTCTGCCTCTGTGGCCAGCCTGAGGTTCTTGGGAAATTCAAAAGTTTTTCCTTACCTCGCTCCCTCGCCAACCCTGTCTTCATGTGTGTGACCTGTAGTCCCCAAAGCTGGCCATGGCTATGCTGTGTCACTCCAGGGCTTCCTTTCCCTTCAGTAAGGCTTAGGGGGCATCCTGGAGACGGGTCCTCGCTATCTGAAGTAGGCAGATTGCTCTGGTTCTCTGTGACTCCATTTCCTTCTCTGTGAAATGGGGACAATGGCACTACTTAGTGCTATGGTTGAAATGTGAAGTGCTTGAACACTTAGTCCCAAGATGTCTAGGGAGCGTACGGACCCTTAAGAGGATGAAGCTTGGCTGGAAGATGTTGTTGGGGCGGGGGAGTCAGGGGAACTAGTCTTCTGTGAACTTGACGTAAGCTACAGTCATTTGGAAAGAGGGAACCTCAACTGAGAAAATGTTCTTACCAGGTCTGCCTGTTACAAGCCTGTGCTGCACTTTCTTGTTTAGTGATTACTGTGGGAGAATCCAGCCCATTGTGTGTGGCACCGCCCCTGGGCAGGTGGTCCTGGGTGGTATTAGAAAGCGGGCTGAGCAAGCCAGAGGGGTGCGTCAGTAAGCAGCACCCTCCATCCATGGCCCCTGCATCAGCTCCTGCCTCCAGGTTCCTGCCTTGCATTCTTGCCCTGACAGTCAGTAAGCAGCACCCTCCATCCATGGCCCCTGCATCAGCTCCTGCCTCCAGGTTCCTGCCTTGCATTCTTGCCCTGACGTCCCTGGATGATGGACTAGAAACTGTAAAATGAAATTGACACTTTCCTCCCCAAGTTGCTTTTGGTCATGGTGTTTTACCACAGCAGTAGAAACCCTAAGACAGCAAGACTTTCCGGGGAGTGGTGGTTCACACCTTTAATCCCAGCACTCAGGAGGCAGGGGCAGGAGGAACTCTGTAAATTCTAAATTCTAGGCCAGCCTGGTCTACAGAGCCAGTCCCAGAACAGCCAGGGCTACACAAAGAAACCCTGTCTCAAGAGAGAGATATACAAAGAGAGAAAGAGAGACAGAAAAACTTCTGGGATGTAGTCCAGCCCCATTCCATTGCCAGACTTTGTTTCCTGGTTCACAAAACATGAGACACCAGTTGCCATGCACTCCCAACACAGCTGCACCACCACACCCTCTCCCCACACCCTCCCCCCACATCTTTCCCCATCCTCCCCCCACACCCTCCCTTCTGAATGCTCCCCCTACACTCTCCCCCCCACATCCTCCCCTCCACACCCTCTCTTCACACCTTCCCCCATGCCTTCCCCCTACACCCTTTGCTCTACACTCTACACCCTCCCACAAACACCCTCTCCCGCAACACCTTCCCAACACCATCCCCCCACACCCTCCCCACACCCTCCCCACACCCTCCCCCCACACCTTCCCCCACACCCTCCCCTCACACCATCCCCCTCTATCCTCCCCTCCACACCCTCCCTCCACACCATCCCCCTCTATCCTCCCCTCCACACCCTCCCCTCTACACCCTCCCTCCACACCATCCTCCCCACACCCTCACCCCCAAACCCTCCCCTCCACACCCTCCCTCCATACCCTCCCCCCCACACCCTCCCCTCCACACCCTTCCCCCCACACCCTCCCCTCCACACCCTCCCTCCACACCCTCCCCTCCACACCCTCCCCCCACACCCTCCCTCCACACCCTCCCCTCCACACCCTCCCCTGCACACCCTTCCCCCCACACCCTCCCTCCACACCCTCCCTCCACACCCTCCCCCCACACCCTCCCTCCACACCCTCCCCTGCACACCCTCCCCCCCACACCCTCCCTCCACACCCTCCCTCCACACCCTCCCCTCCACACCCTCCCTCCACACACTCCCTCCACACCCTCCCCTCTAAGGCGGACTGTAGCTCCTCAAACCTGGCACCTAAATGTATCCTTTAAGTTGTCTCTGCTAACGGCCTGTCACAGTGACAGGAAAAGAAAGTAGCAGCTGCAGTCCTGGGCTGTGACAGAAATGTCTGCGTGCTGAAGAAGCTGTGGGGCATAGGAGCTGCTGTAAAGCTAGAGAGGCATGGGCACTAGCTTAATGAATTGCCGGCTCATTAATAAATATGTTCATGCTGGGTGGTGGTGGTGCACGCCTTTAATCCAGCAGGGGCAGGCGGGTCTCTGAGTTCAAGGCCAGTCTGCTCCCACAGAGTGACCACGTCAGCCAGAACTACAGAGACTCCCTGCCTTTAAATAAATAAATATGGTCATTTTATGTCCGTTTTTTTTTTCAATTATCTGACCTTGTATACTGCAGGGGCATGGAAAACAAACATCCCAAACATGGGAACCTTGGAGTACCAAGACTGACGGGGAATGAAGTGGGTTTTCCAAATCCCAGAGAGGGGGAGATTCCTCAGTTAAAGGCTTTCATGGTCAAGACACAGAATTTTTAATTACATACTTTTAATTAATAAGTGTGTGGCCGGGTGGTGGTGGCGCACGCCTTTAATCCCAGCACTTGGGAGGCAGAGGCAGGCTGATCTTTGTGAGTTCGAGACCAGCCTGGTCTACAAGAGCTAGTTCCAGGACAGGCTCCAAAACCACAGAGAAACCCTGTCTCAAAAAACCAAAAAATGTCTCGAAAAACCAAAAAAAAAAAAATTAATTAATAAGTGTGTGAAAGTGTGATGGGAAGAAAGAAGAGTCTGTGAATCTAGCCAGCCTGGTGGTGCATCTGTAATCCCGAATGGACTACAACAGCGAGCCGCTGACTCTTTAGAAAGCAAAAGTGAAACATGGAAGCTTCTGAAAATTCCACACAGGGCGGGGAGATGGCTCAGCCTTGAAAAGCACAGGCTGCTCCTCCAGAGGAAACAGGCTCAACTCCCAATTCCTACATGCTTCTCACAGCCATCTGGAACTTCAGTCCCAGTGGGTGCAAGACCCTCTTCTGGCCTATGTGGTCTATAGACATACATAAAGGCAAAACATCTATATACAGAAAATAAATTAATTAAAAAATCCAACCGCTCAGACTGGAGCGATGGCGCACCAGTTAGGAGCACTCACGGTTCTTGCTGAGGACCCAGGTTCAGTTCCCAGCACTCATCTGGTGACTCACCATTTGTAACTCCAGTCCCAGGGGCTCCCACACCCTCTTTGGCTTCCGTGGACACCAGGCACATGTATGGTACACAGACGTATTCAGGTAAAGCACTATTCACATAAAATAAAAATAGGGGCTGGAGAGATGGCTCAGCAGTTAATGAGCCCTGGCTGCTCTTTCAGAGGACCCGGGTTCAATCCCCAGCACCCACATGGCAGCTCATGACTGTCTGTAACTCCAGCTCCAGGGGCTGGTACAGACATACATGCAGGCAAAACACCAATGCACATAAAATAAAATAAATTATAAAATAAAAATAAATATTTTTTTAAATATCAACCATCTTAAGTCCAGAATTAGGTAGCTACGGGGCTGGCTAGCTCAGCCTCTAAAGATGTTGAGGCTCTTACCTAACTACTAGACAATTCTCTCAGACGCTAGTTCATGGCCACAATATGACTATTGCTACATGACTGCCCAAAAGCGGAAAGGGCATTTCCTTTCCCGTGGTTCTTGTTGTAGGGTGGACACCAGTCTCGTAGTGTCTGCGGATTTGCTTTGCATCTCATTCTCTAAAGTTGGGTTTCATGTCTGTTCCCTGTTGGCAAAGAAAACTGGAACATACCTCAACATTCTTTCTGACCCACGGGAGCCTGACTTTGCCAAGACAGTGGTGGGATCGTGGGTGGCTTACCTGTGCAGAGTAAGAAATGTCTCAAAATCTATCTCTCCCCTGCCCACAGGTCGGAGGGACCTTGGCCCCTAAACCCCCCACAAGCCAGTGTACATTCAGGAAACAAGAATGGAGAACCCGAGACTAGAGGAACCAGAGAAGAAGACGCTGCTCCAGGAGGAGCCCAGCAGTCAGACTCCTGCTCAGGGAGCAGAGACACAGATGAAGGTCAGTCCCCAGGTGCCCAGCCTGCTGCCAGGCCCATGGTCAGTGAGGCCGAGCCTCATCCCTGCTCTCAAGGGCCGAAACATCCGCACCTCTGTCAGCCTCCAGACAAACCCCACCCTGCTATTCAGGCTGGTTTCCAGCCCCTGAAAGGTTCGTCTTCTGGTGTCTTCCCAAGAACCCGACACTCGTGAATCTAGCATGCTGAGGACTGGTTCTCTGTCCTTTACACCCAGGCTCAGAGCCCTGCCACCTACCCTGCCTTCAGCATCAGGACAACGCAGATGAGTGACGGGGGAGGAATCAACGGAGGGACATACACTGTCAATATTAGGAACATTGTCATGAAAAGTCCCCATAGTAGCTCTAGACATAGTAGTCCCAACCAGACAGTGGGGCCCTAAGAACCCATGGGGAAGCCAAGTAGGGGAAATAGGTGTCCAGAGCCAGGAATCCCTGAGGCCCATGTCAACAGGCTTCCCAGGTCTCCTATGAGGTAAGGTCTTATTTTGGTTTTAAATACTACTTCAACTAGGGAAGTCTGAAAGTGTCCCGTCAGTCAGCACAAACCACTCAGACTAAAAGGAAAGTGTGGAATCTCAGAAGAGTCCATAGATCTGGAGCCACCCTAAGGCCTGGCCTGCTCCCCTTACCCTGAAATAGTCACACTCAGAAGGCATAACTTCCCTGGCTCCGCCCATATCCTAGCCCCCAAGCACAGAACTGGAAGATCAGTCCTCATCTGAGTTCATTTTGGCCATACACTCACTGACTCCCACATTGTCTTCTGAGGGGTCCCAGCTCTTCCAGAACCTTCACTGTGGCTAGAGAGGACCGCCTCTGATTGGCACAGCCTGACAAGTACCCAGAGCTGGAGTAGACAGGGGTCAGGGTCTCTAGGAGACTTTGGTATGCTCCTGAGGACGATGGCTTTGCCTGGGCTATAGGACAGAGCAGCCACTTCGGTCAGGATGGAGTTCATCAAAGCTATTGGGGACCACAGGCCATATACTGGACACCTCCCACAACCCCCCATACTGAGAGCTGAGAGTCTTTCTGACCTGATGCTAACACCTGGAAAAACCCTTATCCAGTTCCCTAATCCAGGTCACATGTCCTGAAGTGAAACTGATGCTCAATCCTGACACCACAGATGCGTCCTCATGTGTCGCCTGAGGGAACAGAAGACAGCAGGGCTGTATCTCAGGGATTCCCATGCAATCTTCCAGGGCCCTGGGCCAGGAACGGGAAGGGGAAAGTGTCACCCATGACTCACATCATACATGTTCCTGGGGAGGGCTGGATGGTCCTCACATTGGGTTTCCAGTTCCTAGAGGATGTGTCTCCCCAGCAGAGGATGAGCAGCTGTTCCGCTCCGTGGAAGGCCAGACTGCCTCTGAGGACGAAGAAGAAAGTTGGCAGGAACAGCCCAGGACCCCACAGGCCCATGCTGAGGTATCTCTGGTGCAGCCCTCAGGCTGTGAGAGTAGGTAAGTGGCTGGATAGCTCTGTCCTGGCAGTGGAGACCAAAAGCACAGACACACACCCCCCCCCCGCCCCAAGAAGGCAGCTTCGCCTTGTAGGGCCCTTCACACCGCTTCAACATGAGACGCTGACAGAGAGTACAGCCATCCTCGGCCCCTGGCAGCCCCACCTGGGAGCTCAAAAGTGGAAAACCCCCAAGTGCAAGGTGAAATAAGAAGACCATGGAGAACCTAGCCTGTGGGCGGACTTAGTTCCCACCAGCCATGACTTCCTGGATCCCTGGCCCAGGGCCTGTTCTCTTCCTGTCACTTTGCAGGTTTCCTCACTTCCTCCAACACAGTTCATAGTCCTCCTCCCTCCCCAGCCTGGCTCTGAGCTGCTGCTTTCTCAGCTACCCACAGGTGTTGCCCTTGTACCATCTCAGAGGATGATAAAAATGAGCTCAGTGCCCATGGGTAATTCAAAAACTTGCCTGATTTTTCTGGGCCTCAGTCTCCTTGTCTCAAAGATGGGTCGGTAACACTGTCTTCAAGGACATGGGGTCAGGATGTAAGATGCTCTCCGGGACAGCAAGATTAGTACACTGTAAAGTGCTGTGGCTTTCAGGGGTGGATATATCACCCATTCTTCATGTCCATGCAAAACACTTGTTAAGTACCTGCTTGTGTGCCAGGCAAAACTTGAGCCACTGAGAAAACAATAAACAGATGGCTGCTTGCTGTCCTGGGTCCCCTGCTGTAGGGAGGGAGGGGAGCAAGTTTGAAGACAAGGTGGTGGAGGAGAGCTGGAAGCAGTTCTGCCAAGCAATGTAGATGGTGTGAGAAGGGTCCAGGAAGAAACAGAGGCTTTGGGATATGCTGGATAGCCTAGGGAGTCCATTGGCTGGGGCAGGCTGGGTGAGGAGGATGGGAGGATGTTAGCCGAGTTTAGCGAACACCTCCAGGAGTCCCTCTGAGAAGCCAAGGAGCCCCAGGAAGATGCTGAGCAGACAGGTCCCATGCCAGCATCTGCTTGCAAGGCTGGAGCACGGGGACAACAGGTCCCCGCAATGCTGGCTTCTCCTCCCCTGCAGGTATGATGAACAGACAGCTGAGATGCTCAAGACTCCCTTTGGCCGCTGTGATGGTGCTGACCACGTCCATAACCTAGAGCTGGAGACCCATGTCACCAGGCTCGGGGAACAACTGCAGACCCTCGGCTGCAGTGGAAAGACCCTGGGGACACCGGAGGAGGAGGTCAGCATGGCCCTAAGGTCCCAGGTCTTACGGCTGGAGGGACTTGCATCCCCATAGCCCACTCACAGAGCTGTGAACAGGACGCAGGAGATGTGGTCTCCTCTCGTTACGCTTTGTGGGAATTGTGGGATGCCAGTTACAGAATGCCATCCCAGATTAGCTTGGTTACAAAGCAGGCGCTTACAAGAACTGATGGGGACAGCTACATGGGCTGCCGGCACCACTGTTCAGAGGCATAAACATGGTTGTCTTCTGTCTGTGTTTCCCTGAAACCTCAGCCTTGAGACACAGACTGAGAAACCTAGACATTGTCAAAGATGGAGCTTTAACAACTTAGTTCAACGATCTCAATTGGCTCTATTTGTGATTCTGGAACCAGGCAATACGTCAGCCCAAACCAAGCAGCGAGTGTCTAATGCATACAGGACTAGGCATGTTCCTGTGAGGAAGAATGGGTAACAGGAAATGCCAGGTTCCTACAGGTCGTGGTATTTGGTAAGGATTAAGCTAGACACACTATCATTCCAGGCCCATTGGGGAAGTCACCCCTGATTTCTCCAGGGACACATGACAGTCAGGTCTCCATGTCAGTGTGGAACTCTGCCCTGAGGATCTCCACCCTGCACTCTGGGCCCCAGGGGAGAAGCTGAGTCCTGAGCAGTAGAAAGTCGGGAGGCAGAGCAGGGCCCCACAGTGCATGCTGGAACAGGCTGCCTGGTTTCAGTGCCAGCTCTTGTACCCGTGTGACCTTCTGTGCCTTGACTTCTACTATGTGTGCGTCAAGTGGGTAGATGTAGGTAGTGAGCTCCTGACAGCTCAGCCCTGGCTGTCGCTGTCTGGTGAAGACCCCCTCAACCCCCAGGATTCCAGGTTGATCTGCTAAGTTTCCGGCTGCGTCTCTATTCTCACTGCAGCGCAGCTCCCTGAGACCCTGGTCCTAATACCCAGGATCTCCCGGGAGAGAGCTGCTGGGCTTGGGAAGGACCACCGTGAGATAGGAACTGGCCGTCAGGGTGCACCCAAGGAGAGGCACAGCTGTCGCTTTTCTTAGTAAACTTCAAGGTGACAGAGCAGAAAGGCTCCAGAAGGGGCGTCCTCTAGTCCTGCCTGCAGTGGGCGGAAGCACAGGGTCTTTTGTACTCCTGCCCGAGGCCAGAGGGAACCCTGAGCACCCTGTACCTAGAGGTGCCTGTCACATGACACATGACATGCCTGACTCAGAGGGTGAGCGGCAGACATTCTCTCTGTTGTCAGCCCTGGGATCCTGGTAGCAGAAAGGTGGGCAGATGCCTGGAATGTCCTTTCAGCCGGAGCCCCAGGACAAGGTGGGATGGAACGATCCCCTAGCCTGCAGTGCGTTCCTTCTGTGTAAGCCAGTCAAGCGGACTGCTACTGTTGCCACCAATGCAGATATATCAGAAAGAAGAGAAACCAAAAGATAGAAAAGAAAGAATGGAATTGTTAGACTAGAGAACTGTGCGTGTCTGCTCACCATCCTGCTCACCGTACAGTTTGGGACAGGCACTTAGCTCCTCGGGCCTCAGGGTGGTTTATCTGCAGGAGGCCAGACTAGGCAATCTCTGCAAAAGTGTCAGGGAGGCCAGCAACCTTGCTAGGAAGCTATGAACACCCCTCCGGGGGACGCAGGTGCAGGGAACATACCAGACCCTTTATCCCAGGCAGAACCACGGCAGACCATGGAGACGACCGAGCATCTGAGGCTGGAGCTGCAGATGGTGGAAACAGAGCGGGTGCGCCTGTCGCTGCTCGAGGAGAAGCTGGTGGATGTGCTACAGCTCCTGCAGAGGCTCCGGGACCTGGTGGGGCTCCGGGGGGTCCCGAAGGGAAGGGGGGTCCAGAGTGAGCTGGGGGACCAAGAAGAAGGTGATGGTGAGAAGGGCCAAGGAGAGTCCATAAGGGACCCGAGGGTGACACTGTGGAGCCAAGGGAGGCTGGGAGGCTGAGGAAGCCTGTATGGCACCCCTAGGCCTCGGTTTCCTCGGTCAGCAGGGGCTCCTCCACTGACACATACAGAATGGTGGCTCAGAGAAGCCACCTAGAGAGGAGGATATTCCAGATGGTTTTAGGAGTCTGATGTAACTGAAATTAAAGCCCAGCGCTGGCTAGCGAGATGACTGGGTAAGCTGTGTGCTACCTAAGCTTGGCAAGCTGAGTTCCATCTCTAGCACCGTTGAAAAAGTGGGAGAAGAAAGCCAGGCACATAATGTTGCCCTCTGACCTCCACACATGTGTCATGGCATACATGCCCTCACATACGCATACAATAATAATAAATGAATTTTAAAGGCCAAAGGAGGATAACCAAGAAAGAATTTAAACTAACATCTCTTTTAAGCATGGCTGCAGGGCTGAGGAGACGGCTCTGTAGTCAAGAGCACATACTGTGGGTTCCAGGACAGCCAGGGCTATGTAGAGAGACTTTGTCTCCAATAAGCAAAAACAACAAAAGAGCACCCACTGCTGTCACGGAGCTCCAGGGTTCAATTCCCAGTACCCACATGGCAGCTCACAGCCAACTGTAACTCCAGTCCCAAGGGATGCAACATCTTCTTTAACCTCTGCAGTGGCCCAGCATACACATGATCACAGACATACACACAAGCAAAGCACCATACGCATAAAATTAAACAAAATAGTTTACAAATAAACATGGCTACAAATTATTAAAGAATAGCAGACTTGGCACAGTGGTGCCTATAATCTCAGCACTGGAGAAACTGAGGCAGGAAGATTGCCACAAGTTTGAGTCCAGCCTGGCACATTCTACCTCAAAAAAATTTTTTGGTTGCTTTTGCTTGTTTGTTTATTTGTTTGATGTTGTTGTTGTTGGGACCAAATTTCTCTTTGTAACAGCCCTGGCTGTTCTGGAACTAGCCTTGTAGACCAGGCTGGCCTCAAACTCACAGAGATCTGCCTGCCTCTGCCTCCCAAGTGCTGGGATTAAAGGCGTGCGCCACCACCATACAACTGGCATACACTTTTAATCCCAGCACTTGGGAGGCAGAGACAGGTGGACCTCTGAGATTTCATTTTTGCTGTTTGTCAGGCTGCTGGGAACATGGGCTACCCAGGTCAGGCCGGGTATTGCATAGCTGGGCAGACAAAGAGCTGGGGATGAGCTGGAGACCATCTGAGGCCCAGCCCAGCCCCAGAAGCAGTGAGGTGTGTCTCTTTGTTTGGGTTTGTTGGTTTTTAAGTCAGGATCTCACTGCGTACCCCGTACCCCAGGCTAGCCTGGAAATCTTGGTCCTGTGTCCACCTCCTGGGTGCTAGAATTACAGGTGTGGCCTCTTTCTTTGTGGTTCTTCCTTTCTACACTGCCTTCCCATTGCTTAGATGCTCATAATAAACAACGTGTTCTGGGGTTCAGATGAGAAAATGCTTGAGAGTACTTAACCACCATCTTCCCCAGGGGCATGTGCCCTGGTCTTTGGTGGAATGGAGCCTGCAGACTGCTCCACCCCTACCCATTGAGAGTCTCTGAGAAGCCAGTGTGGCCAGCCTCAGGGGTGGGAGGCAGCGGGGGAGTACAGGAGAGGAAGACAATATGAGGGGACAGGAAGGGGGGATGGGGCAGGAGGGGATAAAGAGGAACATGGAGAGGGGATGTGGGACCAGCCCCAAGGAGCTTTATGGAAGCTTCCAGAAGTCTCTACACTCTACCTCCTAAGTGGAACACAACCTGATCCAGCCCCTCTTTGTCTCTCTTGAAGAATATATCAAAAAGAGCCCTGGGGAAGATTTTGCTGAATGCCCTGGACCGGAGCCCCTCACAGGGTAGGCAAGGGTGGCAAGGGTGCCTGGCAGAGAAGGGCTGGCAGCTGTGGGGCATCTGGACCAAAACTCCAGCACTGTTCTGAATTCTGTTCTGCAGAACGGCCCCTGTCCCCGCCCCACCAAAACAGACTCCAGACCAGAACCGAGCCGCAGAGACCACAGGCAACTATGACCACCCAAAGCCAGCATGGGCCCAGCAGACAAGGGTGGAGTTGCCTGCTGGCAAGTCAGACTGTACTGTTCCCTGAGCTAACTATGGGCCAGGACTGAGGCAGCGCCTCCGTACCGTAAAGCCCCCAGCTCTGACAGCTGACCTATCAGAGAGGAGTTACCCCACCACATAGTCAAGAACTACCCAGTCAAGTGCCTAGAATTCGCCTAAAGCTCCAGGCCCTGTGGCCCCTGATGATCAGGCAAAGCAGAGGGCAGCAGGATTTCACCAGTTGTGTCCCGTGCAGCTGACCCTGCCTCACAGGGTCACAGAGAGACCCACAGTGGCCTTCATTTGCCCGCAGGAACTTAGAACAACCCGTCATCAGTGGAGACAAGGCGTATGAGGTTACAGCAGTTCTCGCCTTTCTAAGGCTGCATCCCTTTAATAGAGTTCCTCATGTGAGGACCCCAAACATAAAGTTATTTTGTGGCTACTTCATAAATCTAATTTTGCTATTGTTATGAGTCGTAATATAAATATCTGATATGCAGGCTATCTGATACGTGACCCTTGTGAAAAGGTTGTTCAGCCCCCAGGGGTCATGGCCCATGCATTGAGAACCACTGGTCTAGGTGTTAAGGAACATAAGGAGCAGGCCTGGGCAGGGCGGGCAGTGGTACGGGGCAGTGGCAGGCGAGCCACGTGGAAGAGAGAAGTGACTGCGGACAGATAAGGAAATCTACCCTTTTGTTTCTCTCCAGAGGGTACACGTGGCACCTTGGCCATCCTGGACACCTTGCACCAAGCCTTGGTTGGCTGTGAACTCCTGCAAAGAAACCCCTCAGCGCCAGCATCCACAGCTCCTTCGCACACGAACCCCTTCCCCATCTCCTGCTGAGTTCGCTGGCCCTGCCTTGGACCACCATGTTCATCCCAACCATCATCAGACCAGCCTTGACCACAACCAGACTTGCCTCCCTGGTCAACCTGACGACTATGGGACTAGCTTTGGCGGTCACTGGACCAACCTTCACAGACAGACTGACTGTCATCACTGTGGCCTCCTCAGTCATCCCAAGCGCCATCAGTGCAGCCTCCATGGTCCGCCTGACCGCTGTTGGACTGTCTTCTACTGTCTGAATGCTTGCCACAAATGGTCTGACTGTTGTCACTTCTTCAGAGCTCTGGCAGCCAAGGCTCCTTCCAAAACTGGGTCTGGCAGCTGCTCCTTCCTGGGGCCTCTCACAGTCTCACAGAACCCCCACACTGAATCCCTGCAGGTGCTAGATCAGCCTGTACGGCAGGGGAGTGAGCACAACAGCAAAGTCAATGCTCCGCACCTCAGGAAGCTGTCAGATGAAGAGCAGATTGTAAGGCCAACTTGATAACTGCATCCCAATTTGAGCTATAGAATCAATTCAGAGTATACAGATGAAAAGAATAAAGATTAAAGCAGAAATCAGACTCAAAATAGCATATCAGAAAAGAAAATCAACAACATCAAAGCTGGTTCTTGGGAAAGATTACAGAAGTGGTTAATAAAAGCATCTTGCAGGGGCTGGAGAGATGGCTCAGTGGTTAGGAGCACTGGACGCTCTCTCAGAGGACCCAGGTTCAATTCCCAGCACCCACACGGCAGTTCACAGTTGTCTGTAACTCCAATTCCAGGGAATCTGGCGCCAATGCACGTAAAATTAATTATTTAAAAAGTTTTAAATACTTATTTTTTTACAAATAAACTTCTCTCCAGGCTAATCAAAGAAAAAACAGAAGAGACACCTTATTAATACCAGCGGTGAAGGAGGAATGTCATTACAGGACTGATCTCAACAGAACTAAAGGAGTTAAGTGTGACTGTAAATGAGCCTTGTGAGCCAATGAAAGGGACCCATTCCTTGAAAAACACATAAAAGCCACACATGAAGAAACAGACAATCTGATAGGTATTAGATAATACAGTTAACAATTAACAAAACAAAAATAACAGGCCCGGGACAAGCTCTCCGGCACATTCTACGCTGACCTGTAAGAAAAGGGCTGCACAAATCATCTAGTCTCTTCCAGAAAACAGGAGCAGGCCTTCTTTGCAGCCCCTCTGTAAGCCCAGGATTGTCGTCACGCCAGCAAATATCTCAAACAAAGAAGAGCAAAATGCCTCCTAAGTACGGAGCAAAAAATATTCAGCAAAATATGAGCAAGTCACAGGCAACAGTGTGAGCTGGGGACGAGCATTTGCCTTCACACGGGACCTGCTTCAATCTCCAGCACAAAAAGAAAAAAGAAAAAACAAGGATTGCTCACCTTACCCCAGTGGAACTAGCACACTGTTGTATAGGAAAGAGGCTGGAGCCCATGGCCGTTTCCATGTCCTTACAGACAGCGGTGCTGATCTGCCCTTCTTGGGCCTTCAGAGCTTGCTGGATTGAAGCCTGTCATCTTTTCCCTCACCCAAGGTGCAGAGTCCCTGAACATGGATGGGACCTGAACACAGGCCTGATGCTCCCAGCCAGGACAAAGTTCAGGGTGAGGTGACCCCAGAATCTTCCCTGGATGCAGACTGCGGTCAGGACCAGCGCAGCCGCTGTGAGTGGCAGAAAACAGTGTGCTTCACCTCACACCCACACCCCAGTGACAAGGACCCTACCTACTTCCAGGCGGCTCAACAGCAGAGCCCAGCCTGAGCAAGGCCGGACTCCGCCCACTTGATCAGCCCAAGGACCTTCACAGAGCACAAGGCCTGAGATGCTCTGCCGGGGAAGCAGAAAGGAAGGTGCTGCCCAGGGAGAGGGATGTTGTACAGCCACAGGGCCCTTGGCTACCACGTCTCCAGAGAGCAGCTGTCATGGAAACCTCAGTGTCAATTTGTGTCAAAAGTAGTATATGTGAAGGCGTCCACTCAAACAGACCCTCCCCTGACACTGAACCCAAAAATTGGTTTAAAAAAATAAAAAGTCAGTTGGTAGATACTGAGCCTCAGAACCCTAACCCAAATTTCCCTTTACTTCCTGTGAGTCCTGGGGATCGCTGTGCACCAACTAACTCCTCGGTCTGCGGGAAAAAATTTAAATAGGCCCTTTAATTCTTTTTTTTTTTTTTTTTTTGGTTTTTTGAGACAGGGTTTCTCTGTGGTTTTGGAGCCTGTCCTGGAACTAGCTCCTGTAGACCAGGCTGGTCTCGAACTCACAGAGATCCGCCTGACTCTTAATCCATATTAACAAGGTTTTCCATGTATGTATGGTAATATAACTTATATCCAAAGATTAATTCATATTTTTTCAATTATTTTACAAACCATGTATTGCTGAGAACATTCCAGGCCTGAGGCATGGTAAGTGAGTAGGTAGGAATCTCTGTGTAGTCATCAGATGACAAAGTTCGGAAGTAGGGGAAATTCGGTAACTATACTCTATTTGCACACTTTTATTTCTATATTGGTACAATAAATAATACCAGACAATGACTGTAGAAAGTCTACAAAGATGCAAAATCGATACTAATAACACCAAAATAATGGCCTTTATATATAATCTGATACATATCAACTTCAATTCAATAACTTAGAAAAATAAAGCTAGTGTTTCCTATTTTTTCATGCACAAAAGCAAAGTAATGGTTGGAGCATATGCAATTTATACTAACTATATCTTAGAAAAGAAGATAAAAAATTATTAATCCGGGCTGGAGAGATGGCTCAGTGGTTAAGAGCATTGCCTGCTCTTCCAAAGGTCCTGAGTTCAATTCCCAGCAACCACATGGTGGCTCACATCCATCTGTAATGAGGTCTGGTGCCCTCTTCTGGCCTGTAGGCATACAGACAGAACATTGTATACTAAATAAGTAAATATTGAAAAAAAAATTATTAATCCTTTTCAATGCAATCTGTAAATACATTAACTTAAACTCGTTGCATTATTTTATAGTAACATTGTATAAATTAACTTTATCAGGTAGACAAAGTTCTGTTAAGTAGTCTAAAATTCTTTTTCCATGTGAAAATCTAGGATTTCTTTGAAAACAGTTTTAGACCATGTATTCTGATCATGCGTTCTCCCCCCTCAACTCCTCCCAGATCCTTCCTCCCCAGCCTACTCCACACCTTCTTTCTTTCTCTCTTTAAAAAAATAATCAAATAAAACAAAAAATAACAAAATCAAGAAACACAAACCCATGAAAATATGCAAGTAAAAGACCAGTATAACAAAAAATGCCCAAAAAAGGCAATCTGAGATTAAAAAGTCGGCAGAAATACCACTGAGTCTGCCTTGTTCTGGCCATCTACTGCTGGGCATGGGGCTACCCTGAAGTGTACTTAATATCCCAGTGAGACTCCACTGGAGACAACTGAATTTTTCCTTTGCAATCAGGTGTTAATTGAAGATAACTTCTTGGTTAGGCGTGGGAACTCATGTCCACTTCCCCCTCTCAGAGCTGGGCCCCCATCTGAAAACTGTTGTAGAGACCCTGTAATTATTTGATCTCAGCGCTAGGTACTGTCCTAGGTTCTGTCCCAGCGCCAAGAGAGGAAAGGACTCTCTTCTTGACGTATCACAGAGCCTTTGGCATGCTTGCTCCAGGATGAAACTCTTCACTCCTGAAGGTGAGCAAGTGTGGTGGTTTGAAGGAAATAGCTCTCATAGGGCGTGGCACTATTAGGTGTGACTTTGTTGGAGAAAGTGATCGTCATGGAGGTGGGCTTTGAGGTCTCACATGTGCAAGCCATGCCCAGTATGACACACAGTTGCCTCCTCTGCCTGCGGATCCAGATGTGGAATCTCAGCTCCTTCCCCAGCATCTTGTCTGCCTGCACACTGCCATGTCCTACCACGATGATAATGGACTAAACCTCTGAAACTGTAAGCCAGTCCCAATTAAATACTTTCCTTTAGAAGAGTTGCCGTGGTCGTGGTGTCTCTTCACAGCAATAGAAACCCTAACTAAGACAGCAAGAGTCGCAGGTAGAAGCCATACCTACAAGGAGAATGTGGTGGGGACACAGACTCAGCCACAAAGCATGGTGGTAACTTCCTTGCTGGTACATGATTAGTTCTAACTGGTCTTAATAATAAAAACCCAGAGCCAGATATCAGGGGAAATGCTGGAAGATCAGAGAGACAAAGGACTAAGCCACAGCAACTTTTACCTCGCTAACTCCTCAGCCGGAAAAAAAAAAAAAAAAAAAAAAGTCAAGCTCCTGTCTCCTCCCTCTCTGTCCAGCCATATCACTTCTTGTCTGTCTGTCTGTCTGTCTGTACAGCCCTCCAGACCTCTACTGTTAATTAGTGGTTATCTCAGCCCTCTGATCCTCAGTCAAGCTTTATTTCTGAGAGCCCAAATAAAATATCACCACACCTTGGTATCTCTTGGCCACTGTGTCCTGAGGACATCCAGGCTTGAGCCCTCCCAGTCTACCACTGCCCAGCAAGGAATGGAGAACTCTAGTCATTAGCTCGGGCACACATCTTTGAAGCAATTCCACCAGCCCCGATCAAATCTTTCAGTGGTGACAACCCCAGCCCTGCTGCGATCCTGACTGCAACATCTAGAACCTTCAAGCTAAGACAAGCATTTCTGACCTACAGAAACCAATAAAGACCAACAAACGTTGCTATGACGCTGCTGCTGTGGACGGTGTGTTAGAGCTGTAGATAACAAACACATTTCCTGTGGCAGGCGCGGTAGGGGGGAGGGAGGGAGGCCTGACAGTCAGCCCTAGGCCAGTTAAAAGTGTGAAGCCAGCTGACAGGCACTCGTAAGCAAAAAGATGCTGGGAGAGGAGGGATGTTTGAGCATGCCTGCTCGGGCTGATGCGCCTCATCCACATCAGACACAATGCACCCTGGCCAAAGGCTGAGCAGGGATAGGGTTAGGATGCAGGGCACAGGCAACAGCAGGGGGGGGGGGAGGTATAGAAGAGGGGACCACGTGTGTGCTGAGACTCCGGGTGCCTGCCCCATGCGTACCCAGTGCCCTACCACTTAGAAAATATAACTCAAGGGCTGGAGAGATGGCTCAGCGGTTAAGAGCATTGCCTGCTCTTCCAAAGGTTCTGAGTTCAATTCCCAGCAACCACATGGGTGGCTCACAACCATCTGAAATGAGGTCTGCTGCCCTCTTCTGGCCTTCAGGCATACACACAGAAAGAATATTGTATACATAATAAATAAATAAATATTTAAAAAAAAAAAAAAAAAAGAAAATATAACTCAAAGATGAATTTGTTTCAGATTTAAAAAAAAATCTAGTACCCGGAACTAGAGACACCCAGTGTAAAGGCCTTGAATGGAAAGGCAAGAGCAACATACTGGCTAGCTGGGTGAGGAGCAGGGCCAGGAGCATGGTGATTCCACACCAGCTCGGGAAAACTTGACACACAAGTGTCTGAGAACAGATGTCCTGTCTTCCCCCTTCTTTTCCTTTTCTAGAAATCCTTCTCTGGAATTTTGGAATGTACTAAGTGTCTGTAACTCGTTACAAATGTTTTCTTGGAAATTCTAACCCATGTCCTTCTCTCACCTTCTGGCAGAAATACTCCACTGACCTTAAATTGCTTCCCTCCCCATCTCCCAGCTAAGAGAAGGTAATTCTACTCTGTCACCACTAGGTGGGGACACACTCACTGGATGGAAGCACGGAGGACAAGGTTTCCAGCTGGGTGTAGCCTGAGGCAGGAGTTC